ATTAACTCCACCCACACACAACTTGTTTACAAGAAATGTTGAGGGAGCCTGACTAAATTATCCTATTTTCCCCACAATCCACCCCTTCAGGGTCCCTCACTGTACAATCTATGTTTTAAAAATCTTCCACAATGTTCCCTTAGTGAGGATAAATGACACATTTATTTATACAACCTATTGTCTGTTCAATATGCCTTAAGGCTTGTCCTTAAGGCTTGTGCTGTTGTTCTGTCCTTTAGCCATACATGTCCAGTTAGTAGTCAACATTGGTGTGATTTTCCATGGGAATCTTGTAGTCATACTGATGTGAAGTTCACTGCTTATTCAGTAGATGATCATGCCAATGTATGTATGTACCCAGTTGACTATGGTGCAGTGCCTGCAGCCAGAACACTACGGGCGAAAAGACAGAAAAGTTATGGTACCAATAGGGCAAGTTCTCGCCCCTCTGGTAAGATACATGACAGTTTGCCATCCTGAGAAAGGATGGTTGCAGGAATAGGTATCTTACCTGGTTTATGATACCATTCTTTATCTGCTAACACTGTTGGATCTGTAGGTTCTACATGTAACAGTATAGGGGAACTCATAATTGGCCATAATGATAATACAAATGTGCCCTTTAGAATAGAGCACTTATCTGTTCCAGGCCATGTCACCTTTACTGGAGGAAGCCAGGTACTTGTCACCCAAGTTGAAACTTGCAGGCCTTTCTCTAATCCTTTCTCCCAAGGCCCTATTAAGCCAACCCAGTGTGTATGGGAGGCTTTTATTCTCCAAGGTCATTCCCATTGTACTGTTTGTCCCTGTTTCAAACAGGTTGGGGCCGGTAAGAAAATATCTCCATTCTTATTATATCCTGGCTTCAAAAGCTCATCTTTAGTAGTGCCTTGCAGATGTACAGATGCTGCAGCTCTATGCAACAGAGCTTCCAATGGAGAGGGCCCGCCCTTGTGGGGTCTCTCATTTAGAATCCTGACTGTTGGCCATAACCACCGTGTCCACCCCTTCAGGGATGGGGGTTGGGCAGACAGCCTTAGTCCCTTTTTTAAAAGACCATTGTACTGCTCAATCATTCCCGCTGCCTGGGGATGACATGGCACATGTAACTTCCACTGAATGGACAACTGGGAGGCCCACCTCTGAACCCCATGTCCAGTAAAGTGGGTTACATTATCACTCTGTATGACTACAGGCTGGCCATACATGGCAGTAAGGCTATTCAATGCCTTCACAGTGTTTACCTGGTCTGGAGCCTTACAAGGCCATACAAACAGAAGACCAGTAGCTGTATCAACAGCTGTGAAGACGTATCTGAAATTCTCTGACCTTGGCAGTGATCTGACAAGATCCACCTGCCACCATGTAAGGGGCACTCTCACACGAGTTATCTGCCCATCAGGGGCACCCGTCTGCTCATCAGGAGCACATCTGCCCATCAGGGGCATTTTTTCTCAGGTTTATGTGGCATCCGGTGAGCCATCAACCACCCAGTTTTTTAGCCAGCATGTTGCATTCTCCAATGTAGCCACCCAGCTACATCAGCTGCTGGAGATCTCTCCAGTCATCTTACCTTAGCCAGCGCATCAGCTTCGTCATTGCCAGTTCAACATGAGGCTTCTGGTCCTCGCCTGTCCCCAAAAGACGAGTACGTTGGCCTGCTCCCTATTCTAAATTGAACAGTTCATCCGCCTCCTCAGGAGCAACCAAAAAGTCCTTTAAATCCACTGAACATACCTTGCTACCTGTTTCTGGATGTTTAGTGAAGAAACGCTGTTCAGGGCACAATTGCTGCCACAAGGCAAACAGAACTGCATTTGGCTGCTGGTCGATTTTCTTTTTATCAACCCCTGCTGCAAGCAAGTCAAGCCACATCTGTGTACGGTTAGTATTGCTTGGTCCCTTTGGGATAAAATCCCAAGTATTTCTTGGGGGTTTGGTCTTAGCCACCTTTCGGACCCCTTTTGCTTGTCTGCTGTCCTCTACCTCACCCAAGCTGGCTATCATGGTCATTACCTCATGTATAGGACCACCAATGTATGGGGCCATACTGGCCATCAGTGACCCAAAGGACATTGGCGGGGCATTCTGCAGCACTATGTCTCTCGTGCTGCCTATAAAATTTTCATCATCTGGGCCACGAGTGTTCACATTAAACATGGACTGCCGCATCCCCAGCTTTCTAATTATTTGAACTAACTTAGCATATGTTTGCCATTTGCTAACAATCTTGGGCAGTTCTCCAGCATTTGCCCCCATGGTTCAGGCAGCTGCATTCACCCGTTACATTAAGGAGTGATTACCTGGCCCTTGTGCATACTTGCGGCTATTTTGCAGCTGCTGCCTCTGGGATGGTTGTATGGCGATGGAGGTCAATTTTTTCATCTCCTCACCAGAGCATATCACACTATCCACCCCTAGGTCCCATAACCACAACAGCCAAGCAGCTGGGGGGCTCCGCCAGTTCCTGCCTAAACTGTCTCTCCAAGTCAACTAACTCAACCTGGTTACATGGGACATAGATGGTAAATTGGGTCACCTGCAGATTGCCCACTGGTTGTCCCCCTGGTCCCACAGGCTGCTCGCATTTCACTTTCTGATGCACAACAGATTGTGCCTAGGGACGCACAGTCTCCCCCAACTCACCACTGGGTTTGTCATCTTCCCTGGTGTGAGAGGCAAGAGTGACCAGTCACTGCATGTCATCCTCCAGGACATCTAACTGCAATTCCAACAAATCTGCTTTCCGCTTCAAATCTTGGTCAGTTTGCAGCAGAGTGAGCAGCAGCCAGGCTCCGGTCAGCAGAAAAGTGGCCACTGGGCACCACATGCCTAAGGAGAGCCACACGTTCTCTCCTCCCAAGAGGTTTTCCACTGTAGTGTCTAGTCTATGCTGCCTTACATTACAATGAGCAGCAAGCAGATCCCATTCAACAGGAAACTGGCCACGGGGCACAACATGTTCAAAAATAGCCACATTTCCTCCTTCTCCAAGGGCTTCTTGGCTCCTATACCTGCTCAGAATCCTGCTAAGACTACACCAATTGTGGCGTAATCCTGCCGACAAAGCCAATTGTAAAGCTAGAGCTAGGGCCTGAAGCTCAGAGACCCCCTCGAGCCTGTTCACAAACCCTTCACTTGCAGGTCTATGAGCTAGGTAACCAGAGAAAAGGTCCTTGGAGCCCGGGTTGAAGTAGGAATAGTCTTTATTCAGCACACAGGACACTATGAGCTAGGTGGTACAAAGCAGAAACTCAAAAACTCAACTGCTAGGGGCAAAGTCCAAAGAAAAAACAGAAACTGAACAGCTGTCAGCGGAGTAAACATGCTCTATTTTTAGACTCGAGCTCTGCCACAGGCCAGTCTGCTTCACAAACTGAAGAACACACAAAAACAATTAACTACAAAGATGCATGGGTGTACATACACAATAACTCCATCCACACACGACTTATTTACAAGACATGTGGAGGGAGCCTGACTAAATTATCCTATTTTCCCCACAACATTTACCTGGCATTCTCAAAAGGACCAAATTATAGAGGTGGAAAACAGATGTGTGTGTGTGTGTGTGTGTGTGTGTGTGTGTGTAGGGTTGGTTAGGGACAGACAGAAGTAGTTTCTCTGTGGTGATGGAGCAGTTCCACATATTTACTGTTATGTGATAAAATGGCATAGAGCTATACACAAAAACATACACAAGAAAAAGGAGTGCATGCAAAAACTGGTGAAATCCAAGTGAGGTCTGAACTCTGCTAAATTGTCTGTATTGTGTTAGTCTCCTGGTTTTGCTAATGTACTGCAGTTATGTAATGTCACCACTGGGGGAGACCAGATGATGGGTACTGGGAACTTTACTCTCCCATAATTGCAATTTCCTGTAACTTTATAATTACTTCAAAATATAAAGGTAGAAACATAGATTTCTGTTTAAGAAAAGACTGCAATTACTAATTAAACATACTTAGGAAGCAATTTAGTAAAAGATTGGTGTTTTTTCAGGAAGTGAGGCTCTTAAACAAACACTGAAGACTCTTGATTTAGCGTGTTTAGCATCCAGGTCTGCAACTGTGTAATTGAAAGCAATGACTGTTTCCATCACTTCTATTAACATCTAGAATCAGGAAATTTCAGAGCAAGCAGGGACCTCATACAGAGAATGCAGGCCAAGCTCTCAGGTTACAATGCTCTGGGTTTTGGTATCCTCATTCACAATGTGAGGGCTTTGTCCTGGTTTTTTTGTAGTGTCCTCCTTAGTTTTAAATTTTATAATCTACAACTCTCCAATATAAACTGCAGAAACATTAATAGTGATCTTATAAATTTTGCCTATTTGTGTGAGACAAGTATTTCAATTTATGTTTATTACAAATATGGATTCAGAAATGACCTATTTATTTCGGAATACCGTCTCACAAATTAAAAATAATTGGAGAGTGAACTAATTGGGCTAATTTTTACCACTTAGCTAAGGTTATAATTGTCCACAACAAAGGGTCTGGGCAGTTCTTTTGAGATGACTTACCATCACACACTCCTTGTACAAAACACATTGCTTGAGTGTTTATGTAGAAAAGGGAGGTTTACTTCTGCCAGTTTCACAGCAGGAGTTCCTTGACTGCCCAGCATACCTGCTAAGTCAATCCAGGGGATATTCTGGCCAAGCAATCACTGAAACTCAGGAGGCTTTAAAGAGTGGGTATTATCATTTGAGAATAAATGAAGATATGCTTTCTCAACAACCAATATAGCTTAAGCTTCCTTACTTATCTCAACTACTTCTCTTCACAGAATGCTAAAAATTGATTATTTTTGGAAACTGAGCCCACTACAAAAACAAGCTCAGAATCCTTAGGGCCGTGCCTTGTCTCTTGATAGTGTGAATAGACAGAAGCAATGATCTTTACAGGAGAAACACTTTGTTTTTTGGTATTGATTTCCCTTAAGTCTATAATAACTTAAATTACAGTCAAAACAAAAACAAAACAAGCAACTCACAGTATTAGTGTAATCATTTTATTAACAAAAGGAACCCATGGGGTTCAAACAGGAGTATAAAATACAATCTTTATTTTTTTTTCCCCTGTGGGTTAAATTGTTAAATTTTTAATAGTAAAAATAAAAAAAAAGTTTTCATAACTTATCAAAAACGCAACTCTCCTACCTATTGAGTTTCTCACTGTGCAAAACAAAAACAAAAACTAAAGTTTTGCCCAAGGAAGGATTTGTGTGCCAAAAGATGCACAGTTCCAATTTCAAAATGTTTGCATCAAAAAGAAAATTCTAAGGCCACAGTTTTTTTTTTTTTTTTTTCTTGCAAACTAAACAAGAGCAAGAGGGGAATAAAAAAGCAAATAACAGCAGCTAAATTTTTAGCTTCATTCCCAAGTATTCTCTGTTCCAATGTAGAATTTTCTATATTCATAAATTATCTTGATTATAAAAAGGTATGCAGTTTCAACCTACTGCCTAAGGTCAGATATACCAATATCAGTTCAGTAAGGCAAATCATATCTTTCAGCTATTCTCTTAAGAGATACAAGGTTAGCTTTGCTTCAATTTTGCAGGGGTACTTCATGATTTCTCTAATAAACATGATTAAACAACCGTAGTGAAGTAGCTACTTTTCTACATGGAACTAAATAAAAAAAAACGTTTCTCTCCATCCACAGAATTTGAGTTTGTCTCTCTCACTTTGTTTTGGTATCATGCATGGAGATGGACAATGTCTTGACACAGCATGTAAACTATAACTTAGAAGTCCACAAATAGTTGAAGATGATCTCTTCTACAGTAAAAATAAAACAGTGTGGACAGCACTTAAATACACATACCTGTTTAAAGATACAAAAACCAAAGCAAAATAAAAAATCACTAAAAACCAAAGCAAGGAGTAAAGTTTTGTGACAATTACAGTACAATTACTGGTATAACAGTTTTGCATTATGATTTTAAGCAGTGGCATACAATGAAGAAGTGTACATGATGCTTATATGATTACAGAGTAGAAAGGTATGTCCAGAAGGGTAAAAAGCATACATTTACCTAATGTTTGTAGAAAAATCCCTGATCCAATGGCCAACTAATTTTTAAATACAAAATTTAACCATAGAAGAATTTTTCTATTTCTAGCTGAATATATGGATCGAAAGATAAGTTAATCCTTTGGAATGAAGTACAGGATTCTGCAAGGGAAGCACCAGGGTTCTAGATCGAACTCTTAGGACATGGAGAAAACCAAAGTTCTAGGTTGCTCTGAAATCCCTATCAAGGGAATCCCTATCTCCCCTGCCACTAGTGTCCAGAAATGCTCTCAGCTCAGGAAAACGACAGACTGAAGGAGAAACAAGTGAACGTGTGACCATGAATGGGGGTAGGGGGACAGTAAAAACACTGCTCAGACTTTTAGCAGCAACACAATCCTGTTGGTCTGAATATCCTGAGGTTAAATGATAATAAAATATTGCACCAAAACAATAAAGAAAATCACAGTTTAAACAGAATTACTAAAGAACCAGAATAACAGTGTACGATGCAGAGACTGCTATGAGTGGACTTGTGTCTCTTGACAGAAATTAAATTTGTCTTTTTAAAAAATGGTGTTCCTACTCTCTTTTGATCTTGCATTTATTTTGAGAAATAACCTTAGGTATACATACAAGGGTACTTCAAAAATTTCAAGGACAGATTTGTATTATCTTTTAATTCTATTTTTCTGTGAACTTTTTGAAGTAAATATTCGTATTTACTTCTATTTAATGCTAACCGTATGGATTTTTCCCTTGTCCAGTTTCAGAGTTAGTGATAAGTGAGAATGAGATTGCTACTGTAAAGAGCAGAAACTCCAAAGACAATCAATTAGGCCTAGAGTTTTAAAAACATTATCTGATAATCCCACTAGAGGTAGGTTAAGAAAAGGCTTTTTTTTTGGACTGTACAGTTATCAAGGCATCCTGAAGATATAACCCCCTTCTTTTTCTAACATGCTCCTAGGTAAATAAGATATGAGGAAAATCAAACATATATCCTGTCAAAGTACTTGAAGGGGGTAAGAAGTAAAGCCTTCAACAAAATGTGTTTTCATACTGAAATTCATCTTTCCCCTTTAAACTGACAAGCTTTTCAAGAAACCCCTTCTTGCCTTCATAATACTGTATAGCCAATTTATAAACTACAGTTTAACCTACTATTGAAAGAGTGAAAACTGTATTATTTCACTAGGACCTTCTATGACCAAGATCTCAAGAAAGGATGCTTTCAAAGACTTCAGTTCTTGAATATGATACTATGGTAAGAAATCATGAAGACCCTGAAACCTGCAGGTTTCACTTAGTATTCAGAGTAAGCCATTTTCCTATTCACGCCTTACACACCCATGTGCTGCTACATGCTCCAAGTCAAGTCTTCTCCCAATGAGTCCATATTGCCTTAAGTTTAAGATACTTATGTTCCACTTTGAGAAACCTTTTTAAAGGTATACTCGCATAGCGTTTCCACTATTTACAAATCCCTCCTCTCAGGTCAACGTCGGCACCCCTTCACTTACTCATCCCACCCTCATCAGGACTTCGGTTACATTCTGTGACTTTTCACATCTTCATCTCATTTTTTAAAGTGACATACAACCACCATATAAACTTGTGCAATGAATCCATTGGCCCACTAGAATGTTCCTGTATTCTTTAGTTTCTATTGCCTTCAGTCTTGATGTTCATTTATGTTCTTACATTAACCTTAAGTTATCCTCAAGTTATCCTCTCCCATAAAAAGACAGAAGGAAAGAACCAACATTCTAATTTGGTGATCAACACAGTGATTTCTGAAATATGTTCAGAGAATGAAAGAAACAGGCTGTGTCTCTTCTATGTCACTAGGATGTGGATCAACCAAAAAAAAAAAAAAAAAAAAAAAAAAGGCAGACTAAGATTACTTATGTGGCCCTCTTTAAAATGATTCTCTTATTTGTTTCTAATTATTTAGGATATAAACCAAGTTGGTCAGACTTTATTAGTAGTAAGTCCCAGTAGGTTGCTTAGGTTCTCTATAGTCCATGGCCACATAAAATACCTTAAAGGCAATCTATGATACTGTATATATATACCATAGATCACAAAGAAAATATTGGAATATGTGGTAAATGGATCAGTGATAATTTATCACCACTGTCAAAACATATTTATGTTTCCCCTAGTAACTATGAGTCAGCAACAGCTATTTTAATGAATGAAGGAGAGCAAATGATTATTTGCAAACAGCATAATAAAAGTCCAATTTTCCTTTGCTTTGTTTACCTCTGAGTAAAGAGGTGGAGGTTGAAACCGGAATTCTTGAATGCAGGCAAACATAGGACAGTATGCTTCTCTCTCACAGTCAGGGGGTTGAGGATAAGGAGGAATGTGTCTAGAGAATTCTTCCTCTGATACTACATCTGCATAATTTGGTGGTGCTGAAATAGAAATGGAGTTGGAGCTAAGAAACCTATGCAAAAATTAATTAATCTCAGGGGCTGGCCCGGTGGCGCACTGCGCTAGTGCGCTGCTTGGGAAGCGTGGCGGCGCTCCCGCCGAGGGTTCGGATCCCACATACAGACCGGTTCCCGCTCACTGGCTGAGCGAGGCGCGGGAGCAACACCGAGGGTTGCGATCCCGTTGCCGGTCCCGGTCCGGTACGGGGGCAACACTGAGGGTTGCGATCCGTTGCCGGACACGGAAAAAGACCAAAAAAAAAAAAAAAAAAAAAAAAAAATTAATTAATCTCTTCTAACTCTTAACAAAAACAAGAAATATAGCTAAACTTGAATATAAAAATATGGTGTTTTCCCTCTAATAATCAGTTTTTGTGCCAATTACAGCAAAATAATTTATTAAACTACTACTAATACTGATTATATTCTACTTTTGTGAGATGTGTGTTATGGTCAAGGTAGACAAATATTACTGAAATGCGGCTATAGAAAATACCTAACATTCTGTACTTTTATTTGGACTATTTTTCATTGTTTTACAATTGCAAATTGAAATCAAGAAATGTACATTTTTTTCCTGAATCTGCCATCAGCAGCTATGTGTGCTGGGTAAGTTAAACTTTCAAGGTCTCTTCCAGGAATAATGTTTTATGAATTTTTAATAAGAAAAACAATAAGAAATAATAAGTTGTAGTAGAAGTAGTAATTAACATTTGAGCACTTACTATCTTACAGGTCCTGTTCCTAGGTATTTCCTATACAAAACGTGATTATGAAAGAACTTCAAAATTTTACCTTCAGGATGTTCTGGTAGCGTCAGTGTCAACCAGCTCATGTCCATACTGAACTGGCTGGCAATGCTGGCATTTCTGCTGCCAAAACCATGATACGGAATTGTACCAATCACTAATGGCAGCTCAAGCATCAATTTTTTAGCACCAGGAATGTGAATGTACACCTAATATGCCAAAAAAAAAAGGGAAAGAAAAAGGCACAAATATAAGTTAAACCTCATAATAGATAGCTCGATTACTTTCTTTTTTCATAGAAACAAATATCTTTGTCACCTGCCACAACCCCCCATTTCAACTGTGAATTGTCCTGACTAAATAAAATGGGAACAAACAAAATGAAGAATACATAATATATAATAAATGCTTTGTGACAGGGAGCTGTGATATTAACATACTTTATTGTATGTTGGCATGGTTTATATAATAATTATAGAAAACTAAATGTATGTCTTCAATATAACAAGTGCCCCTTAATGCACCTCAATTATTTTACATTATTTTATTAAATCCCTTGGGGGAGATAGTTTTTGGTGAAAAACAAAGGCCAGTCTTCATATACTCCACAACTGGTGGTAATCCTGACATAAAATAACATTGTCCTAGGTATTAACTGTACATATTCATAGTAACATGGCACCAGGTATTTGCTCCATTCTACATATTTTTAATTTTATAAAGAGTTCTGCTTACAGCTAAGGAATAGTCCACTCTGATAATGCAGCAATCCAGGATGGACGGAGTAACAGGTGGAATTTTTAGAGTTTTCCCATTCCATGTGTCGGTCCTCCCAGAAGCGATATGGTTTCCTCGCACGTTGGCAACCATGTGACGGACTGTCTTTGTTTTCCCACTAGCCAAGTATGTCTGGGTTTGGAAAATAGCAGCTTTGGGAACAATCAGACGAGAGGAACAATTCTCTATTTCTGCATAGATTGGAATAGCTTCTCCTAAAAGGAAAACAAAAACAGGGTGGATTCAGAGAGTTTCCAAAAAGTTCTCACCACAATTGAATATAGCCATTACTAATTTAAGGTGAAATGTTCCAACATTACTTTAACACACTGAGAAACCCTGATGTAAAACTTATATTGTAAATCTGAGTCAGAGAAATAAAAAATTCACTGCAGGTTGTGGTAAATAATATTTTCTAATTATTGGATTATTCACTTTTCTAATTTAACAATATTACATCAGCAATTCTAAAGACATGTAAATTACCACTATCTATATAAGTCAAGATCAGACATACAAATTAATGATTCAGTTCTAAATATAAAGATCACTAACAAACTCATTAGTGCCTATCAAATTAAAATCTGCCTAATAAGAGAACAAAGCCTTTGATTTTAAGGAATTAATAATGTTAAGGCATAAATAAAATGACGGAGGGGGTAGGCTGGTTTTACATTATGCATACACAGCACACCATTCCATAGCACATTCATTTCCAACAAGCCAGACGCTGGAGTGGGGGCCTAATCCACTGCTGGAATTGAACCCTTCACAAATGGTAGTTCTATTATCAATATGACTGTCAAACGTGTTACTGTTTTACGTCCTAGTCCCACGTATTAGTGTATATCAAAAAAGCATGAAATCAGAATGCCTAGCAGTATTTTCATACTACATTCTCTCTTTTCATATTTCATTCTCTTCTGAGCAATAGAACTGTGGACATTTTTTTGCAACATTAAAATAAGATGCTGGCATTTTCCCACTCTTCCAGTTTTACTCTTTGTTACTAAAGTAACGGGACTGAAGTCAGAAAAACTAGACTTAGTGAAATATATTTATCTATTTAAAAATATTTAAATGTCAATGATTTATATTAAAAACAAAATTTTATTATTCATATTTAAAATACAATATACTTCTTACATTACAAAACAATCTACTTAAAGTCATTCAAAATTAGCTAATAAAATGAAGGAATCTTTCATTTGGACTTTCAAACATTTTGCTTACCATTACAGTATCCCTTTCTTTCAATTTTGGCACTCAGCGAGACTGGACCAGAAGTGAAAAACCAACAGCCAACCATTTTCTCTTGAGTTTTCAATACAGGGGTCTTGAAAATTTCAAATAATAAAATGACCTTAATTATGCCACGCTAGAGAAATCATAGAACTTAAAATGATGTCTTTCTTCATAGAATAGTAGTATTTTTCTACCAAAAAACAAATTGGCCTTTCTTGTCCTCATGTGACATATTAGGCAAAATATGTATTGAAACACAAAGTATTTAAAACTCATTCCCTGTTTAGGAAAAGTAAGGTAAATTTTCAGATTCAAATTGGCATGACACCATCCTATTTTACCCTGAAGACATTATATTTCTAGGAAATCATATGTCATCCCCTATGAAAGCAATAAAAATCTGTATTACTATCTATAAACATGACAGAACTATTTTTTAAGACTATGTATAGATCATGTGAAAGAATAAATGATTAAAAATCAATAATCAGAATATTATATTTGTTTTAGCATTTAAGACTCGTATGTTGAATAATCGAACAGCCTCTTTTTTTCTTACTTCAAAATGCATTACTAGGCAGAAGTTTCAAGTGTTCTTAACTTGGAATGATTTTGGGGTTTTGTGTAATAGAGCAACAACATACCCAGTGTTAACAGATCTGAAAAGGTTATTAAACACACCACACCACTACAGTATTCTATTCTATTCTGCAGTATCAATAGAAAAGACACAAAATCTAAAATGCTCAGTTTACAAGTTGCATTCACCAAAAGCTTACTGTAAAACCTAAGTCACTTGCAATATTTTTTTCCTATTTATAGAAAGAGTAGTAAAAGATAAATTGTATCTGTTTTTTGGCAAAAACAAAATCCCTTTAAATTATTTGTCATAATGGTCATAAAGATTTTAGAAATATTTAACTTCCCAATTGTAAGAAGTTCTTAAAAATACAAGACACTTAGCATCATCAATTTTCAAAAAGGGTTTTAAGCAGGTGTTAAAGTCATAGCTAAAAGCCATGTCAGGTGGGTGCTGGCTATTTTATGATTTTGGCCACAAGAGACCACGCAACTATGGTACATTAGTTATCTTTTCACAAACAAGAGATGATCATTAAGCTAAATTCTATTGCTTTTTCATGTGAAAATAAAAGTTAAAACAACTTTTAATTGCTGGCTTTTTCCTCGCCTTTAAAAACACTGGCTAGAAAAAGAAACCTCCAATACTAAAAATACATCTTTGTCCCATCAGAATCATGAGGGAAAGTTTAAATTATCTCAGTATTTTCTGTGAAGTAAAAAAATCATTCATTCATATTTAAATGAAGAACCATTAGGTCCTACCAGCTATCATGAAAGTACAAGGTATAATTTTATATTATTTTGATAATATGGGTTTAGATAAAAGAATCTAGCTCATTAGCTTCCATCTTGCCTATTCTGTTGTTACTTATAGCCCAATCTTTCTTATCAGTCTACAGTATTTCTGGTGATTATTAGAAGTTCAATGCTTTAATGTGGCCAAATCTGTCATAAGGAAATGATAAGTGAAAGGATCTCAGCGGCAGCTGCGTGCACTTACTTAATGTTAGAAAATGACATGCAAAATGGAAGGATACATAGTATAATGGCCTGAGATTCAATAACAGGCTGAGCATGATTAATACTCTTCCATAATTACGGTTCCTCAACCTGCTATTATTGAAGAGTTTAGAATATCACAGTCCTGTGAATGTGGCTGCTCTGGTAAAAGTAACTCCTCTCTGTGTGTGCATTATTGTTATTAAGGCTTATTAATGCATTTCAAGCCTGTGTAACTTTTTGGCAAAAGAAGCCCTGAACAGCAGGGACATAATCAATAGTATTAACACACACAATTTGTAATTTGCCTAACCTAGAATCATATATTTATAGTGAATGCCTATGGGTTACAAGATTTTATTTTGTAAGCCATCAGAAAGTGACAGGACAGGCTACCACTAAACTGGCTAAATACAGATGCTATTATTGAAAGGAAGGAGGAAAGGAGGGCAGGAGGAAGAGAAAAAGGAAGAACTTACTAACAATGCTGGTGTGTTGACATCGACATGACTAACAACCTGGAGTTCCCGTTTTACACTCTGATCAGGTACATTGGGTCGTTCCAGAACTGCCCTCACACAGTACTGAATATTTCCATATTTCCCGGTAAATGAGGTTACTAAAGGTCTGAAACAAAGCAAAGACATTAATTTACGAGTTTACTTTTCAGGTAAAACCAGGAAAAGCATGGCTTAATATGTTGGGTTAGGTTGGGAGGGAAAAAAAAGCAAGCAGGGTAAGTCTATTTAGGGGCTCTTCAGGATAAACATGTGTACTGGAGAGTCAGAAGATACCTTGTACCCACACAATTGGGTGGACATATTGCAGGGAAAGATAATTGCAAAATTATGTAGTTTCACTTACTCAGATGGAAGTTGAAAGCGAAATGGAAATTCATGTTTTCCAGGTTGTAATAAAATGATGACTTCACCTATAAAAGAGATTACATTTTAACTTAGGTTAGTATTACAGCAAGAGTTTTCATAACCTAAATCATATTTTTTAAAGGAAGTTTTCCTAGCTATAAAATGCAGTATACTCCAAAGTTCATTAAACAGACTTAGAGAATTAAATTTGAATGAGTTTTTTACCAAGCAACAAATACATACATACACATAAACACACACACAGACACACACACACACACACACAGACCCCTTCTATACTCAAACAGACCAAATAATTACCATAAAGTACTAGAGTCCAGGGCTCCAATACACACACAATTGTTTACCACACTATACTAACATGAGATACCAATATTACACTGGAACTAAAACGAATTTAGCAAAAGATAGATTTATCTTGGGTATACCACAAAAATCATACTATGCATTATGCATTATCTAGGAAAAGATGGAAAAGGAAGTGAAAAATTTTTAAATATTATTACTAGTGGGTATAATATAAAACACTCAAACCAACAAGGCAAGTTACTAAGCAACAGTGATATATTTTAACGATTAATAGGGTTTCTTGGTGGTTAACGTGGGATATAGAGAGGGCTTCACCAAGTTCGTCCATGGCACCTTCCCCTGCTTTGGGTCACCAGCTCCACTGTTTTCAAGCTGAGGCTTACCATCAATTGTGAGGCGGCCAAAATGCAGGGTGTGGATGGACTGTGTTAGGTGAGAGGCACCCCTGGAACCTCTGAAAAATGTATATAAACAACCTGTTTGATTCAGATCCAAAGAAAGACTCTGTGGTTTTCAGTGTTGGTTGAGTGGCTCTCTTGAGATACTTATAAACTTTTCTTTCATTTGATGTTCAGATTTAAGACTAAATTATCTCATTGTAGATGGGATAAAAAGATGAAGGGCAGTATAGACAGAGAACTTTGAGATTTGCCTGGTCACCTGACACTAAAATGAAGATTTCTACGTTATCTATTTGTATTAATATTCTTAGGATCTGTTTCCCCTTTCTTTTGACCTACTTCTCCCTTTCTGAAAGGCAGTGTGTACACTATGCTTTTCCCACCACTGTACCTTGGAAGTAGATAACTTGTTTGATTTCACAGATGGGACTTTGGACTTTTGAGCTGAAACAAGTTAAGGCTTTGGGGATGGGATGAATGTATGTATTCACATGTGAGAAGGACATAAACTTTGGAGGCCAGGGTAGAATGTTATAGGTCAAATGTATACCCCAGAAGTTCATGTGTTGCAAACTTAATTGCTACTATAACAATGTTACAAAGGTGGGAAAGCTAATTATGATATTTGAAAGGTGGGGCCTTTGAGAGGTGACTGGATCTTAGAACTCTGCCCTAGTGAATGGATAAATCCATTCATGGAGTAATGAGTTACCAGGGATGTGGACTGGTGTCACTGTGAGGAGCACAGGAGTGATCTTTCAATTCTTGCTATGTGATACCCAGAGACACCAAGGGACCCTGTAGAGAATTCCTACCCAGAAGGCCCTCAACCAGATATACTTCCTGGACTGTGGACTTTCCAGCCTCCAAAACTGTAAGAAATAATCACTTCTTTATAAGTTACCCAGTTTCAGGTATTCTGTTATAAGCAAGAGAAACAGACTAATCATGCATTTAAAAAAAATTAATGGGCAGAAATCACAAGTGAAATGGGATTTTTTTCACTTAAATAGTAGTTTCATGACCTCCTCATTCAGTTAATGTTTCAACCTTGTACTTTTAGACCCAATTTTCAATGTGTAATATATTGGGGGGAAGGTAACTATCTACCACTTCAGTCTATTTGAACAGAAACATTCCACAAGTGAGCAACTTGGAGGCAAAGTAAATAAGGAGGCACAGGGACATGAGATCATGTTAAATGACAGTAATAGAGTGAGTCTTAGGGTTTCAGGTAAGCTCAGGAGCTGCACTATAAGCCTCAGCAGTGTTACAGCACTGGAAGCCAGGTCAGCATCTTGACTTGATAGCTATCAAGTGAAGGGTTCCAGGCAATCCCAATGCTACTGAGAGAGCTGGGCTAAAGTTCTAATTTGTAATCATCAGAATACTTAGATTAGTACTTACAAATGTTTAAAAAATGTTGATTTTATTTGAGTTAAGTTTTATAGTGCTTAGATGTCAGGCACTGTGGATATAAAGATGAATAACTTAAATCTTCAAACAGACCAGTGGGAGGAAAGGAGACTAGATACTTGTACACAAGTAACAAGCATAGAGTGCTAGAACCCAGAGCAACCAACCATGCAAGAACGTAGGGTGGACCTGGCATCCTGAGGATCTGAGGGTTGGAATGGAGATGAGTGAAAAGGGGTTCAGATGAAAGGAACAGCATGAAGAGCATAACAGGCATGTGAGGATCATAGAGCTGCCCAGGATACTGAAGGAGAATAAGAGGGAGAGATGAAGTTCCCCCTTCACAGAGGAAACAAATCAACATAGAAACTGTATCATTTAAAATGAGACTTTTAACTATCTCAAAATATAAACAGGAAAAAAATCGAGAAAACTGATAAACATGATATTTGGAATCAAATCTTTGTTTTCTTTTCCTCTTTTTTATTGTTTTTAAATAAAAAGTTTTACAAGCTGAAGCATGTGCCCATTTCTCCTTCTGTCCTCATGGCTCATTACTTTTGTCTTGTACACTGAGGACTACAATGTCACAGGGAGATGTTTCATTCCATAATGGTATTATACTCAAAGCTCCTAATTAAAGGCTTTCATGAGCCATCAGAATCTAGAAGACCATTACAGAGACAGAGACTGGGGCTCAGGAAGGGTGAAGACTTGCCTAAGGTCATACTGCTGGCGAATGACTGTCCTGAAACCAACATTTTGGTTCCATCCTTTTGTCTTTCTACAACAATTCCTCAATAAATATATACAGAAAATCAATAATAATGATTGCAAGTAGTTGGGCTAGATTAACAATGCAAAAGAATTATCTGGGGACATTTAAAAAAATAGATCCTAGGGCCATGTTTCCCAGAAATCTCTTCAGGTGATTGAAACACAGCCAGGTTTGGGAATTAAATTGCCCTGAGAACCTGTAACTACATCAACTTGCTAACTTCTTCTAAACTATAGACATTAGGGATGATCTTTTTTCTTTAACTAAAAAGGACTATGATTTCAAGTAAAATATAATTGTTGCCAATATTTGTTATGATACGTTCTAAAACAAGTTGAAGATTTTCAAACTGTCTACGTTTAGACACTCCATTCCATTAGAATGAAAAAAACAAGACCTGACTTGTGAATCAAAAAAATTGTTTTTCATTACTAATCCAAGGTTCAGCTGCTTTTAATTTTACATCTATTTACTCAGTAATTATGGGCCCATAGATTCAGGGAGTCCAAAGTCCTAGACAAAAACCAATTGCTTCTTTGTTCCACGGCCTTTTATTCCAGTCGGCCATCTTGAAAATCTGAGATGTCTGTTGCCACTGGAAACCATATTGATGAAAGGGCATGAAGGCGGGTAAGAACTGGCACCTAACACACTGCTCTTGTTAATCCAAAAGAGAACTATGGTTCTAAATATGGTTTTCCTCACTATTACTCTGGGATCACTCAGATTACCACATACCTTGAAGACTTAACAGAGGACAGTCTACTTCTCCATAGCAGGATAAGACAAAACCACACATTCTATTTTGTGTAAGACATAGCAAGGATTAAGCATATAGATATAAAGCATTTTACTCGTCTGGGGGAGGGTGTGTAACATAATCTTACTTGATAGATAAAAGCTGAGGCAGAAAGGTAAAAGTTTAAAATAGTCTTTCACTGATTGAAAGAAGACTAAGACTCACTGTTTTCATGATTAAGGGAATCAATTTTTGTACCTAATATGAATGGAACACTCATGTAGTGGGTCCCCAAACGGGCACTTCTGGAAAAGTCTACACTATTAAGTTGACTTCACAAGAGTGAACAGGAGGAAGGGTAATCCAGAAATGCCCTGATGACATTGTCTCTAAAGGCCTTTTGGGTGGGGGAGAGAGGGCGAGGGGGTAGGGAGAGGATGCAAAGCAAACAAAAAGAAGCAGTCCCAGGTAGAGGCAGAACTCTCAATAAGTTGCCTCACTCCCCAAGTGATGGAACCAAGTATGAGACGCTCGAGTCCAGAAACACTTCCTTTGAAGTCCTACCCCTCAACAACTTCCCTCTTCCCAAGATTGAGTTTCTGCTAATTCATCATGAACCAAGAACAAGCGCCTAGGTTCAGGATGGGAAGCAGTGGAGGCCCACAAAACACTGGGCACCGCAGGATGGAACCTCATAGACACGGGTTCCGCACTCCGTTCTACGGGCCAGAGGAACTGGACCTATATCCCTAGATTCCCCACTGTCCAATCCCGGGTTGGGTTCCCATGGCAACGGGGACACCAAGTGCTTGTCATGACGGGCGAGCGGGGGCGGGGCACTAGGTAGAGCTGCGCGCTCCCTGCGCACTGTCTCCCCGCAGCTGCGAGGTAGGGGCGCTGGCATTGTTACCCGCCACTCATCTGGCCTACTCA